GTGGTCCCGGGGGGGGGCGCCCGGGGGGTGTGTGGCTCTGCTGCTTGGAGCGGGGTGGGTGGGTGATTCATGCCTAATGATGATGCTGCGGCTCCTGTCGCTGCGAGGTTGGCCTGTCGCCCCCTCCCTGGCAAATGTGACTGTGTTTGGGAGGGAGAGGGGTGGCGAGACTGGGAGAATGCTCAGGTAGTGATGGCAAGGGTCCAAGGGTCCTGGACACCCTCTTGGATGCGTATTCCCCATCTACTCTTTTCCTTTGCTCCTGTTTGCTGCACCAGGAAATGGGTTTCTATAGCCCGAGCTGATGGATGAGGGAAGGTCTGTCCCGCTCCACAGTCCCCTAGTTCAGTCCCAGGTGTGACTCTCCACTTGCCCAACTTCACAGATCTCCTGTCTCTGCATCTCCAGTGTCTCCTCACCAGGTGTCCCCCTTATAGCAGCCTCTCCAAGGGCGGCAGGGGAGGCCCTGCTCACCAGGGGCTTTCGGCTATAGGTCCCGACCACCTTCTTTTACTTTGGGAAGCAGGAGATGGATGAGTGTGTGCAAGGGCCTTTGCCAAGCTGTTTGACTTGCAAGGCAGCAGTGGCCTGGTTTGGGGTGGACCCAGCCCCCCGGAGTGGATCTGCGCAGCTTTGACTGGGCCATCTCTGCACCACCCAGAAGGACAGGCATTGACTGGCAGCTGGGTGTAGATGGAGGCTCTGGTGCAGTGCATGGCCTCTGTTCCCCCCCCCCCACTCCCCCATATCGGTCTTCCGTGCACATTTGCAGGTCTTGGCCAACCCAGTGCTTTAGCCCCATGCTCCTCACTCTTCATAGACTTAAAACAAAGGGGGCCTTACTGATTGGGCTCTCCTGGTCCCGGCCTAAGGAATTGGGCATCAGGGAGGCCACATCCAGGAACTGCTCCTGGAGATGTGTTCCTCCCAGCCCAAGCCTTCTGCTCTCTTTCCAGAGTGGGTGGGTGGCCTTCTCTAGCTTGTTACTGTTTGTGAGGTTGACTGGACCCTCCAAGGTGTGGCCCAGTCATTAGCAGGTAGGCTGTAGGGATGCCCCCGGGACCCCAGAGTCTGGGAAGGGCAGAGGGCTCCATGGACTTCTCCAGAAATGGTGGCGTGTGTTGTACCAGACTGTCTCCATGGTGGGAAGGCTGACGGCACCAGTGAGCCTTGTGAAGTCAGTGTCCTGCTTATTGAGTGTGTCATGCACCATTAGCTTCATCCTTAGCGTAACTGTACACCAACAAGTTGGCATGTTCTGGCCACTCCAGCTGTTCAAAGAGAGGAAACAGGCTGAGCCAGGCAAGGTGGCATAGCTAGCTTGTCACAGTCTCTAGGCAGTACTGGGAACTGCACCTGGGTATGTTGCTCTGCACCTGCTATGTCCAGGGAGAGACCTCATATGGCAACAGCCTTTTTGTGCTTCTCTTTCCCATGCTGGCCCATGCTGGTGGGGTCTGTATTCAGAAGACCAAGGGGCCAAGATCCTTTGCCAGCCCCATCTCTGCAAGGCTGGCCACCAACTTGGGGAGAATGGGACCAGCAAAACTCTTGGGCTTGGGCTTGGGCTTGGTGGTGCTCTGCTGAGCTTTTGTGATGTAGAACAGTTTTGGTCAGGGCAGTTTTCCTCCACTAAGACCTTATTAGGGGTAGGGGAATTCACTTGCCTTCATCTGTCTCCCTGTGGAAGCCAGCTCCCTCCAGGCAGGCCTTTGTGTGGCCAACAGCCATCTCTCCCTGTGAGGGCACTTATAGGTCTGCAGATCTTTGTGGAAGTAAAATAATCTCATCAGGTAAAACAGGGAGGGTCTGCAACTTGTGGCAGGCCCCAGTTGTACTTTTTCTTTCTCATGAGGCGTTGGTGACATCATCTCTTTCTTGGGGGTAGGGGATTCTGAGTAGGGGACAAGAGAAGCATCATCCAGAAAGGAGTCCCAAATGTCACCATCTACTGAAGAGTTTGCAAAGTCCCTGGTACTTGGGCAGCTCTTCTCTTGGGTCTGGGCTGAGCTCTGGGATTGAATCCTTAAAAGTGTGACTCATGAGGGTGGAGAGATGGCTCAGTGCATGCATGATGGCCTGAGTTCATGTCCCCAATACCCACCCATGGGAGAGCCTGATGCTGTGGCCCATGGCTATAACGACAGCACTGGGAGACAGACACAGAGGGATCCTAGGAGGTCACCAGCCGGCCAGTCTAGCTGAAATGGTGAGTTCTGGGTTCATTGAGAGACACTGTCCCAAACAGTAAGGTGGAAGTGGTTGGCTTAGTGGTAAGAATGCACACTGCTATTTCTTAAAGACCAGAGTTCAATTCCCAGCACCCATATCTGTAGCTCACAACTGTCTGTAACTCAAGCTCAATGTAAGCCAAAGTCTCTGGTTTCTATGGGCTCTGCACTCACATGCATGAACCCCTCTCCTGCACATAATTAAAAACAAAAACCTTTAAAAGTAAACTAAGGTGGAGAGCCATAGAAGAAGATACCAGCCCTCTGGCCTCCATCTGCACTCATAAGGGTAGAGTGCATACACACACACTCACTCACACACACACACACACACACACACACACACACACACACACACACCCACACACACACACACACAGGACACCAACCAATACATGGAATGAGACAAGAGAGTCCTATATTGATTTTGGTTCTTGGTTCTGGGGAGATCCGTTGAACCATAGCTCCGACTGATGCTGATACTGTGGCTCCCTGGCTGTCCTGTGCTGCAAGCTCTAGGTTGGGGGCCCAATGTTCCCACCCGAGTGTCTGTGCTGGGTACCATCCTGGGTAAGATGGATCTACTATAGTGTGTGTGTGTGTGTGTGTGTGTGTGTGTGTGTGTGTGTGCAGGAGAAGGGCTGAAGGCTCCATGAGGAGTTGACAATACACCTGGCTTCAGCCACTTAATGCCCTGGAACCTCCTGCGTTCTTCCTATGCAAAGAGATTATTTGCTGACATGGTGTGTATCCACCTTCCCAGGAATTCCCTCCATCTCTAAGGACAGCAGATTAGCAGAGGGGAAAACCCTTTTACCTTTTACCTCTGCCTGCCCCCCAGCCTAGTCAAGACTCCCAGATTGGCATGAACAGTAGTGGGGGTTCTGGGGGGGGTCTGCCTCACCCTCCTTGAGCTGATTGGTGAGGCTGTTGCATCCCTATATATTCAAGCTGAACAGATTGGCATGAACAGTAGTGGGGGTTCTGGGGGGGGGTCTGCTTCACTCTCCTTGAGCTGATTGGTGAGGCTGTTGCATCCCTATATATTCAAGCTGAGAGACAAGCCCTCCCTCTTGCCTAGCTGAGCCTTGCTTTCCTCCTCTGCAAAATGGGTATGGTCTTTGCAGTAGGAAGTGGGCAGAAGTGTAATGTTGCATGCTGGGTAAGCAGCCAGTGGCTATTCCCAAACATTTTGCTATTGCTCTGAATGCGTTATTCACCCCATTCGCCTCCTCTTCCATTGCTGGGATGGAACCCAGGGCTTCACACACAATAATCAAATGAGCCCCAGCCTCAGCTTTGAGCTTCAATATGAACCAGCCATAAGTGTCTTTGTGCATGCGTTTCATCTCTGCTAACAGCTCTCCCTGCCATCCTAGTCTTTGTGCCTAACACTCAGGATGGAGTGAGTTCTGGGCTATTTTCCCTTAGGCCCAGGAGGTTCTTACTTTTACATAGCAGCCTACCACCTCACTTGGTCATGTTGGAACTGCCCCAGCCTGCCATTCACTGAGTCCCACTCTGCTGGGCCCATGGATAAGAAGAGACACAATTCCTGCCTCCAGTGGAAACTGGCCAAGGGACAGGCAAATGCTTTGTTCTGGACTCAGTGTGTGCAAGGGGCAGAGATGCCTTTATCCTCCATGGTCTGTCCCCATCCCACACTACTGCTGGCTCCTACCCAGAGCTCTGCTGTTCAGGAGTTGGGGAGGGGAGGTCATTTCTTGTCACTTGATCAGTTTTGGCTTGGCCTTGACCTTGCCTGCCAACCTTGAGCCTCTTCTGCTTCCTGGGTATCCCTGCTGTTTCCTGGCACAAAGCAGATTAGGGACAAGAGGGAATGAGTGCACTTGGTGGCTGTGCAGCAGTGGTGACACCATTGGGGCCTGGCTTGGAGGGTCCAGATGGGGTCATGCTGAGAGGTTCAGGGAGTGACCAGTTGGGCACTCAGGTTTGGGTCTGTCCAGGGAAACCTGTTGTGTAGGA